CCTTTTTCAGATCTCGACTCCATACAAATTACTGATGAAGATTTGCTTGATGATTTCGTGACATTTTTTATTGCTGGTAAGATTGAGGGCTGCTGCTGCTCCTATTGTTTGTCATTGTAGCTAGTATTGCAGTTGTTTTCCAGTTTCATATTGGATTTTAACAATAGTCTTTACAATACATTCATATCTTTACAATGACAGGGCAAGAAACAACGGCAAACCTTCTCTCTTTCATGATTGTTGAAATAACTCAACGACAGGACGTCATGAACAAGTAAGTTTTTCTTGAAACAAGATCATCAAACTTGCAGTTAGTGTTAGGCTGAGAGAAGGAAACCTTATACGATTCAAGAAAGAAACGCTGGCTTCCAAACATAGATGTGAATCAAACCAAGCGTTTCACCCAGTCGTCCCTGCACGCATTTTTTGTTTAAATGAAAGYTATAAATGAAATTGAGGTCTGAAAATKTTRTCATAAAAACATTTWAAAATGTTATAATTAAATGYTTTTTAGGTTRCGAGATGAAATCAATGAAGTGCTYGGGTCACGTGACTACGTAGAGTTTGATGAYCTTGCCAAGCTACAGTACATGGGACAGGTACATAAGCACTAAATTAACAAACGATTTAGATGARGTTTACCATTAACGAAAACCGGTATTGAAGCTAAAATTGTATTCTGTAAAGGACAAAGTAGTTAAAAGAAAAACAAAGAGGCTCCGAAGCCCYTTGGGGTGTCAGCGAAAGACACAAAAATCAGTCAWAACTAACGYAGGYCTCCGAAAGCATCTTTTAAAAAAATCTTTAAAATGACTATGTATATTTATTGTTTTGATTTCTGTTTAGGTCTTAAAGGAAACGCTAAGACTCTATCCACCAGTCCCAAACGTTTCAAGGYACACCAAAGATCCAATTGTRCTAAGTGGTCTCCAGATCCCCGCAAACACAGGTGTCATGGTAAATAATACAATTAATATAAAAAAATAATAATACAAATAATACAACGCTTCAAGTAACAGTTTGTATAAACAAGTATCCGGACATTGTTTTCAACTCTAGATTCCCTATGTGCGTTTTAACGAAAATAATCGACGTTTTTTTTTTAAAAGACATGTGTGTGAAATGTCCACTTCGAGCCTTTTCGGAATATTTGGATGTACGGTGCTATTAAAAACGAAACGTAAAGATAAGAAAGAAAGCGAAACGAAACGAAACGAAGTGAAACATAATTGTGCCAGACTCGTACTCAGTCGTTACTGAGTAAAAAACTGCCGTTCCAAAAATGTCCATACTACTTTAAGCGCGGCTACAAATAGCAGCCAATTTAGTCAATAACAGTGCGTGGGCTATTAAAACTATTGCATAATCTCATCATTCTATGTAAGAATKATTTCGGTAAAAATTTGGTAACTTGTAAAATTAGCATTCGTTGTGGTTATAAAATGTTTGCCATATCATGCCTTGATCACCTTAATAGTTGCCGGGATATGGTAAACTTTATGCACCTAAACTATATACACCTCATTACAAAAACATTTCCATAAAGAAATAGAATATTTGTAATTTTGTAAAATGGAATATCCTAAAAAAAGACCAAACAAAGCGTAAAGCATGAGTAATGTTCTTGTGTCGTGTTCAGATATTATTCTTTTTCACTAAAATTGAAATTTCTCTGTGATAACAATTTTGCAAGTAGGTGTAAATCGTCCGGCTTAGTTATGTTTACAAACTTGAAAAACTAGTTGTGTTTCTTGGAATACTTTTATACATTTTTTTGTATTTTACCTATATTTGTTGATTTACATGTATTGATTGATTCATTCATTCATTGATTCATTGTTGTAGATTGGCATTTTTGCTTCCCATCGCTCACCTGCGCATTTTGAGGATCCAGAGAAATTTAACCCTGATCGATGGAGCCCCGAAAATGCTGAGAAAATGTAATCTGATAGTTGACAACAGTCTCTCATGCGCAATGAACTTACCAAAAACAATTTCTGATTTTTGCCTRAGCCTGCATTCCCAGATGGGTTAGACGCAAGGTCTTGTGGAAATACATGCTTAGCCTCAAATCGGAGAAGATTCAAATTTCTAGAGCCATTGTTATGGCAGGTTTTTTTCGTACTTTCTTTTGACTTTTGGTAAGGTCTCTGCGCAAGTAAGTCTGTTGTCTACTATAACAGCGGTGATTCTCTTTGAACGGGAATAAGGTGTATTTGGTAATTTYTMTATCATTTATCATTGCTTGCTTTACTTAATTTTATTATATTGTTTTTTTTTCTTTCAGTCCACACTTCGGTTATTTGCCATTCTCGACTGGACCAAGAAACTGTATTGGACAAGTATTCGCGCAGGTTTGTAAAACCGTGCCTCAGACTGTTACTAATTTTAGTTGGTTTCTTGTTTTTAGTTGAATAATGGAAAAACTATCGAAAAGCCACATAGACAACAGATTGTTGGTTCTACGACGTATTTTCAGTCTAGTTTCACAAGAACGTTAGTAGGGACTTGATAAGAGGAATTCCAGCTTTTTTTGAAAAAGTGCACGAGGATTGTTTTGAATACTTTGATTTTTCCAAGTTAAGTCTCATAATTAATTATTAATTATTCTTGCAAGGAAGGGAGGCCACGGAAACCTCTGGCACCAGGCACTGCACACGCTCCTGTGCTACTCAGCGAGCCAAGTTGATTTAACCATGTCGCGTGAGAAATTGATATTTCAACGGAATACTTTGAATCACACATCCAATCCCGGGCATCCAATTAACTTTCCATAAACCATCGTCCCTTGCCACAATCCGTTTGCCACTCACCATTTGTCATTCACTCAATCAGCGTAAAAAGTATAATTCATTGCGGAGGGCGTCGAGATTTTCGATAAAAAAAAAGAGATCAAGGATGATGAAATCATAATTCGTTTTTTTACACTATCCATTCTCTTGTATGTATCGGTAGCACTACATAATTCAATAGAATCAAAGGTTCAAAACTACCTCCCTCATAGAGTGCATGTCATAAATGTGTGAAACAATAGCGTAACTATTTTTTGGGCGTATCGGTATTAAGTTGCATAGCTGCTAACTTCGTAGTTATTTTCTTCATATAAGAATTGATTCAGGCGTAAAAACAAAGACACAAAGAAATCATTAAAATGCGTCTATCTTTTATTTCTTTGTGTCTTTGTTTTTACGCCTGAATCAATTCTTATATGAAGAAAATAACTACGAAGTTAGCAGCTATGCAACTTAGAGCAGAGTCACATGAACCATGAAATAAGAACTAAAAAGTACTAACTAATAGGGACTATTAGTTCCTAATAGTCGTTAGCACTGMACCAGAACAGTTTATTTGATCCAATAAACAATACCCAAGAGACCACTTTAACAATCAAAGTAATCTCTTTGTACTGTTCTGGTTCAGTGATAGTGTCTAAATAGTGCCTAAGTATTTAGTTTCTATTTCATGGTTCAAGTGACTCTGCTCTAATACCGATACGCCCAAAAAATAGTTACGCTATTGTTTCACACATTTATGACATGCACTCTAGTAAGCCATGCGATCAATCGTGCCGACAACCGTAATTTGACTAACGACCCTTGATTTTGATGAACTTTTCACAATGTTTACAAAGGCATATCAAAGTTATTTTTACAAAACAAACAAAGAAAACAGAATTGCTTTCATGTAGATCGAATGACGGAAAACACCCCAATGAATTGAAATTCTTTCACGAAGAAAAAACCTTACCTTCATCTATCTTTTTATRTTTCAGTTTGAAGCTAAAGTCGTGATGGCTCGATTTCTAAAAACATTTGACGTCAGACTTTGTCCTGGGCAGACACGTGCCATCAAACAAGAAGGAACAATTTCACCTCGAGATGGTGCCGTGTGCACACTTCTYCCCCTTTAGACAATGAATATTGTAGACAGTATTAGATATTTACTGACTGTAAAATGATGATCATGAATTTTATCGTGTTTGAAAGGAGACTAGACTTCCAACAACATATATCATTAATTGTAAAACAAATAGAACTATCGTAAAGAATCCTGGATGCACGTGGGTCTCATAAGGCTGAATTAGATGACACAGCTTTAGCCAACAACCATCGTATGCGACCTGCGTAACATGGCTCCTTACAACATAGCTACAACCGTCGTGGGGCTATTAAGCAATTGTTTTAAATCCCTACGACAATTGTAGCCATGTTGTAAGGATGACTTACGCAGGTTGCATGCGATGGTTGTAGGCAAAAGTTGTTTGTCTAATTCGGTCTTTACAACATGGCTACAACTGTTATTGGGCTATTAAACAATTGTTTTTAAGTCCCAATGACAGTTGTAGCCATGATGTAAGTTTTCAAAAAGTCATCACACACTTAATCCGTGGAATACTTTAGTAGGCAAAGTAGTAATTATTTWCTATGTAGTAGGCTACTACACGAGGTCTTAGTCTAATACGCGAATCAAAAATTATACAAATTAGGTGCTAAAATCTTTTATTTTCTATTGTCTAATTAAATTAGTAGTATCTACTAATATTCGTCAAAATTCACTCAAAAACTAGTTAGTCTACTGTTATATACCTTTTGCTATAAACTACATTATAAGCAAATGCACGATTGGTTGTCCATGTCCTTATTATCTAATGTATCAATTATATCTTTCAACTCGAAAATGTTTCATACCATCTTTTAGTGATGTTTATCATATACATTGTGGTCTAAAAACTCTATCATTACTTTAATAAAGCACTTAGTCTTATTATTTACATTATAGTAAGTCGTGATCACCGACTCACTCCATACGAGTGTTCAGAAATGTTTGTTGTAGTAAGCAAATGTTAAAGTTATATTTGTTTTCTTCTTTCCTTTTTTCTATCTATCTTTCTTTCTTTTTTTGACATCCTTGTACTGTTAAATGATATATCCTATAGATATGCATCGCCATAAGTACTTTCGGAAAATTTCTAAAACGATTAAAACAGATTTTAAAGATTCTTTAACTGATTTACTTACCATATAATTATTGAACTTTCCTAAAACGCCGTACAATTCTTAGTCAACTATCATGAGTTTAACCTTAATGATATTGTAGTTTTCCCTTGACTATACTAATTAAACCAACTAACTATAAATTCTATGATATATAAATTAACTTTAAGCTTTATCAGTCAAGCGATTTTTTTTGTAGAAAACTGCAACATAGTAACTATGGTAAAAACGAATATGTGTTTTAAAAGTGTACTCTTAAAAGTGTTGTTTTTCTATACACAATGCAATGCACAACAACTTTAGTAAAATTTCTATTTTTTCTGGTACTCGATACTAGAAAACTAAAACCAGAACCAGTGAATTGCTGTACATCCCCCTAAAATGTGTGTCATTATGCTCTTTCAGCGGTAACCRTGTCTCATGCTTTTGGTCTCAGTCTTTTATTGTTGTAAACATCTGTGTAGACGGTGTTCAGGCCAAAGCTGACTCTTTTCGGCTTCCAGAATCAGATTCTGTTTCGTTCTATGAAAGAATAAGATAATGCAAAAATCAATCACAAAATTATGAAAATGACGCAATRATTGGATAACTTAATGGAAGAATAAATCGATTGTTTGTAAAGAGCTAAAAGAATGTATTCCAAAAAAGGTTGTTGTCCTCAGTCTATTTCAAAATATATTTACCAATTTGGTTTGAATTCAATGACGGCAAACTACTAATACACTATTGCGGGTATTAAACCCATCGAACAAGTCATTACAAAGTGCTCCCTGTTTTAAACCGCCAATGAGCTTCAAAGCTATATTCGCTACAAGAGAATTTTGAATAACTAAAAGTGAATATTTAATTATAGATTCCTCGCAGGCTCAAGACTGTGGACTGTGTCCTGGCGACGACAACGTCTTTTGAAATAGTTGTATAAGATGACTGATACATACTGTGGCCACACATACAAATTCAAAGAGGGTGTAAAATGCAGTTAACAATACTGTTAAGGATCATAACAARTAAATGAATACCTTTAGTCTCTCAGAGCGTGTTTGATCCTTAACTTTTTCACGTCCCAATGATGAATTTCAACGCAGATTTTATARAYCTCCATTACAAGGTTTGGAAARTATTCCAGATAGATGTAATCTTCAAGCAACAACTTCCCAACTGGGTTACACTTCTGATCACAAAAATGTGATTTTGCATTTTTTAACAGRCGCAACAACGACTCCACAGATTTAACATCGTATTTACAGTGATGTGACATCTTCTGTAAGATAATAGTCATTTTKKSGTATTCTTTTGCAKTCCAAGCACCGTGKTTCACGATAACACCGAACTKATCTTCCAGTTTTTCTTTGATTCTTYTGATCGTTCTGTTATCATTAGAGCGAAATTCCTCACCAACTTCGAGAAGGAAATTTATTTTTTCTTTGTCCGACCAAAACATTGGATGTTCCAGTGCCTGTGCTGCAGTAAGCCGGTCTTTTGGATCTTCTTCAAGCAACTTCTTGATGAGGTGGGTCGATTCCRGACTGAGAGAGCTGTCCCATCCTGTCATTTCGTGTTTCAAYATGTTCGCTGCGGTTTCTGTGCTWACTTGGTAAAGGCTCTTTCCAGTAGATTCTTTTGGGCTAAAWGGATGTTTTTGTACTGACATGATGTAGTGGAGGACAAGTCCACATGMGAAAACGTCRGATGAATCCCTATGCTCATGGTCAGCGGACTTGACCACTTCTGGAGCGATCCACTCCCTTGTTCCAAAATTGGTTGCCCTCAGAGTGAAAGAAGCATTKGCATCTATTTGGCGACTCAAACCAAAGTCAGCGATCTTGAGAATCAATTCTGGATATGTTTTGTACAGGATGTTTAGTGGTTTGAGATCACGATGAACAATTTTGTGCTTATGTAAATGGTCTAGTCCCAKCAGCACATGTTTACAAAGARGTATTCTTSTGMTTCTATMAAAATCAGCACTGTYAAWGAAATCTTCTAGATTACCTTCCATCAGCTCAAGAAAAATATAATCAAAGTCTTCTTTCTGGTCATCAACAGAAATGTATTGRACAACGTGTTTGCAATCAATGAGCTCAATCAGATTTGCTATCTCTCTTTTGTTTTYCAGTTTAGCYAYGTTCACCTTTTCAACTCTTTTTATGGCAGCTTCTCGCCCGTCCTTTTCATTGATCCCTGCAAAGACACAACCAAATGCACCCTTTCCAATGGGTTCCTCRTGATACCAGTAGTTGCTAACTACTTTAAAGTTCTGACGTCTCGCCACAAGATCAAGTTTGGGTTTATGAACCTTCGAATGAGAAGTCCAAGGCAGWATCGATTCAGTTTGGCTTATATCAACTTTTGATTTCAAAAGACTCTGCAACTCTAGATTGCTTYTTGCTATATCTWCGCATGGACCGCTATCTGCTCCAYAGCAAAGAAGAAGCTTTGCAATTTCCCAGTGAACTGGCATCATAGATYTTTCRTGCGAGGYATSGTATTTTGRCTTTTTCATTGGAGGCGTTCCATCATTRTCGTCGTCACCACCATAATGATTTCTGTCATCGTCGTCATCAGCATTGCAGTCATCGGATCTRTSAATATCTCTACCAGAGGCCACTGATGATTCAGTATCATGMAGCTCAATGATATTTTTGCAGCAACCGATAAGAGSCGTTGACAAGTTAAAGTGACGATTTGAYTTCATAATCCTCTCAACRAGTTTCACMTTCCATTTGGTGTGTGTAGACGSGTCACTGCAAACAGTTTCTAAAATATCCTCCAAGTTACTATTTGGGTCTTCACAAGCCACTTGGACTAAAGCGTCAGTAAGCAGAAAGTCCTCGGATTYTAATAGAATACTCAAGATAGTTTTGCTARAGTAAACATCTTTTCCCCAMAGATCAATGCYTAAGCACCTACATTCTTTAAAAAATGCGAAGGAGCTTTCAGTGACGTCAGGGTAAAGCTTACCTGGGTTTCCTTTAGATACATTTGCATTTGCTGCAATCAGGAGGGGTGGACGTTTCTGGATGTCAAGAGCATTCCTATTAGCTYGATATTGAATCAAAAGCTTGACAGCACTCCATGTTCTGCAGAGATGAAGAGCCGTTTGTTCCTTGCTATTTATTGCATTGACTATTGCCCCGCAGSTAAGCAAATGCTTAAGTATCTTTTCAAGTATTTCTTTAAAAGTGTGATCTTTRGTCACCTTTCCAGTGTACTCYYTCGCGGACGATARGCAAAGCGTTGCCCATAGGTGAAGAGGTGATTGCAAATTGTTATCTAGTTTGTTGACAGATACAGATTCTCCAGGTGAAAATAACTCCAAGAGTTCCAAAGCATTTTCTAGAACAACACACCTGACCTCCTCRYCATCAAGATGAAAAGCAACTTGAAAAAGTTCCAKAATTAAATGAAATACCGTCTTTCCTTCCTCGTTTGTCTCATTACATTTCCAATCGATTTGRGCGAGTAGGAATTGACACARCTCGACCAATGTCTTTACCTCACGCCATGTATCGTTTCTCGTTGCGTGACGCCAAGTGTCGGAAGATAAACAAAACAWGATTGGTGTTTCGTCACAAGCATTTCTGGCATTAAATGTAGCCCCATTTTCACTAAGAAGTTTAAAAATTTTCATGACAACCTCTTTGGGCACTCCAAAAAAGGGGAGACGAGTACAATAGTGAAGTACTGTGTTTCCTTCTGAGATGACAGTGTCAAGGTCTACTTCCAACTGGATCAGTAAATGAAGCACATCATGAAGGTTTTCTTTTGTTCCATTCTCAATAGTGTTCGTTACTGTAAAAAGTTTCTCGATTTTTTCCACAGACTGTGGGTTGCAAATGTAATTCTTGGAGGCTCTCAATAAACTTAGTTTTGCATTCTGGTTCGTAAACTTGCTCTCCATAAATTTCGACATTGATAAACAAAGGAATACACTGAGTATTGCCAAAAAGGGGAGACGAGTACAATAGTGAAGTACTGTGTTTCCTTCTGAGATGACAGTGTCAAGGTCTACTTCCAACTGGATCAGTAAATGAAGCACATCATGAAGGTTTTCTTTTGTTCCATTCTCAATAGTGNCTTAGCAGCAACCACCAATGCAGTCTCGCTAAACATATTTGCATTAACATCAGCACCAGCATCAATCAAAGTACGTACAGCCTCTACATTACCAGATTTAGCAGCACCCACCAATGCAGTACCTCTAAACGTATTTACATTAACATCAGCACCAGCAGCAATCAAAGTACGTACAGCCTCTACATTACCAGACTTAACAGCAACCATCAATGTAGTATCCCCAAACACATTTGCATTTGCATTAAAATCAGCACCAACATCAATCAAAGCACGTACAGCCTCTACATTACCAGACTCAGCAGCACTCATCAATGCAGTACCTCTCAACGTATTTACATTAACATCAGCACCAGCAGCAATCAAAGTACGTACAGCCTCTACATTACCAGACTTAACAGCAACCATCAATGTAGTATCCCCAAACACATTTGCATTTGCATTAAAATCAGCACCAACATCAATCAAAGCACGTACAGCCTCTACATTACCAGACTCAGCAGCACTCATCAATGCAGTACCTCTCAACGTATTTACATTAACATCAGCACCAGCAGCAATCAAAGTACGTACAGCCTCGACATTGCCTGACCTAGCAGCACCCATCAATGCAGTACCTCCAAACGCATTTGCATTAACATCAGCACCAGCATCAATTAAAGCACGTACAGCCTCTACATTGCCAGACTCAGCAGCACCCATCAATACAGTCTTTCCAAACGGATTTGCATTAACATCAGCACCAGCAGCAATTAAAGCACGTACAGCCTCTACATTGCCAGACTTAACAGCACCCATCAATGCAGTACCTCCAAACAGATTTGAATTACCATCAGCACCAGCATCAATCAAAGCACGTACAGCCTCGACATTGCCTGACCTAGCAGCACCCATCAATGCAGTATCTCCAAACCTAATAGTAATATCAGCAGCAACAGCAGCAATTAAAGCACATACAGCCTCTACATTGCCAGACTTAACAGCACCCATCAATGCAGTACCTCCAAACGGATTTGCATTAACATCAGCACCAGCATCAATCAAAGCACGTACAGCATCTACATTGCCAGACTCAGCAGCACCAATCAATTCAGTACGTACAGCCTCTATATCGCGTGACTTAGCAGCACCAATCAATGGAGTATCTCCAAAAGTATCTATTGCATTAACATCAGAACCAGCATCAATCAAAGCACGTGCAGCGTCTGTGTTGCCATTATCGGTTGCATTGACATCTGCATTGCGAGCAGGACATATTAATGTATTGCTTTCGTTGGTTGCTGCATTAAAGGTAGCTCCAATATCAATCAAAGTATGGTCAGAATGTGCATTATCAGAAATAGTTTGCCTGTTGTCTTGTGCCATCCTTTCYCCAAAAATATCTTGACTTATAGTTACAGCAAAAAATCAATAGCCAACACGTCTTTCTTAACCTKCYTTAGTTTGCTATGGTGATATGAGTCAATGCCTGCAATGAAATAAAAAAAAATAGTGAGGCAGTCGAGTTGAAAAGYATGAATTTCGCTYTAATTCTATGGTCTCTGAATACTCATTGTAATTCTTTTCAGCCAATCCCTTTAACGTTGTTCATTTGTAAAGACGTAAAGATAAAAACAAAGTCATATCCATAAATTGTGTTTTTAATTTTTTTAGAAGAATATTCAGCATAATTAAAAAGAACTATGAGAAGGTTTATCATTTTACTAACATGAATATTTCGGTCTCTATCCAAAAGCCATCAACTGCAAAGTGAACTCATACATGAGTATGATTAAATTAGTTCATAAGGCTCACTGAGTTTACTTTGCAGACAATGTCCTTTGGATAAATGCCGAAATATTCATAGTAGTAAATACCCTACGAGCAGAGGATTTTTCCACCCTCTTCTACGAAGAAAAGGAAAAATACCTCTGCCACGGGACAGTTAATTTCCTGTTGAGTATGCGCATGGAACGATGATATGATTGGATATTATCTATGACATTGATTGACGCCCTGTCAATATCGCGTCTATCGTATAACGTTTTTTTTTTTTTTTTTGCGGGAAAACTATCGCAGCTGAAGCACAATTAAACGATGGTGTGGTATACCTAATATTTTCATTCAAAAAAATTAAATATCCTTGTAAAATCCTCTGTTGGCAGATAAAATATGTTCACGATAATGCTAAGTTTGTTATTTATATAATTTATTAAATATATGACCTTTTTTACACGCTGAGAGGGAAAGATTTGAAGACATTCGTTCTGTAGACGGATACATGTATTTATGATGCTGTAATGCAACCAGAACTCAATATTTTACCAATATTTTTGTTGTAGCTTAATTAAATTTTCAATTAAAATTTTGAGAGCTTTATAACACGGACTCTGTAATAARTACTGCGTTCATGAGAAACGATGTGAAGCATCTGTCAAGAAGAACCCTGTGATTTCCAGGTCGTTAAGTTTATGACACTTCCGTTGTTATARAGTAAAACAGTTCAAAAGTGCTTTTCGTTCGCTGCATTGTTCACCATTTCGAAATATTTGAAGCCTCAGAATTTCAGCAGTGTTTTAACCGACAAGCRGAAAATAACTGGTAAATGACTGCTTCAGTCACGTGGAGTGATCACATGGTTTACCTCCAAGATTTTGGAGGCAGCAACATCAAAAGAACTAACCATCCTGTGGCACAGAGGTATTTTTCCTTTCTTCATAGAAGAAAAAAAACAAACAAACTGAGCATATATTATTGTGAACATATTTTATCTGCAAACACCGTTTAACTTCAGCTGCGATAGTTTTCCCGTGAAAAAAACAACAACAGTTATACGATAGACACGATATTGACAGGGCATCAATCAATGTCATAGATAATATCCAATAATATCATCGTTCAATGCGCATACTCAACGTCCTGTGGCAGAGGTATTTTTCCTTTTCTTCGTAGAAGGGAGTGGAAAAATCCTCTGTTTGCAGGGTACAAAATGCTTGGTCTGGTTCATACACACACAMAAAAAAGAAAAGAAAATATTTTGTTACAAGCAAACATTTGCAAAGAAATTCATGTCAATGCATGGACAGAACAAAACTCACAGGATAAAGGTATTGTAGAAAAAAATCTGCAATAAATAGTGTCCTCCTAACTATTGTGCAGGGTTCTAACAATTTGACTAACCGCTGTTTACATTGTTTCTGTGTCAATCAAAAACACAGCTTGTTCTGAACTAAAACAGATCAAAAGAGAAAAATTGTAACCCTTAAACAGACAAAAACCATACCCTATCCCAGACAAAATGACAAAAGGTTACCCTACCGCAGACTCAA